TGTTAGTGCTATTTTAGGTTCTATGTATTATTTGGTAGGTAGTTTACTGGGTCTGGGAATACTCAACAAAATCCCCACGGAAATGAGGGGCAATTGCTCCTTCACATTCTTCCACTTCAGGCTCCATACCCTCTCTCTTCTTTTGGCCAACGGGGGCACAGGTCCTTGTTTCAATGTCCTTATCGACTAATATCATCTGCATCCTGTCTGGGTCACTTTTCATTGACTGATTTTTCTCCTCATTCTGCTTTGTATTTTCCTGCCTTCTCCCATCATTGTTATATTTGGCTGGGCGGCAGACATGGTGGATTTTAACTTGGTGTTTACTAGATATTTTTGAGTTCCTGTACAGAGTTTGGTTTGGTCTGAGATGTAGTTATGTTACATGGGAAAAGTTTCATCTCTTCAGAGTGTGTTGTTAGATGGGACCAGAGTTGCACTTAGTCTAGGATCAATTATTCCCTCTTACTGAGCCAAGGTCTTTCTTAGTCCTCTAGCTTCCTGAAATACAAGGTCCTCCACTGTCACAATTGAGTAAAACATGATTCCTGACCATCTGTGGCTATTCTCAATTCATCACAATTTTCCATATTAACCATTGTTTACAATTTTGTGATATTATCTTTCTTAAGCTTAAATGAGCTCACACCCCAAAACCAAACTCACTGACATTGAGTCAGTACTGACTTATAGCAAACATATAGAACAATGTAGAACTGCCCTTGTGAGCTTCCAAGACTGTAACTCTTTATGGAAGTACATAGCCCCTTCTTTCTCTCAAGGGGTGGCCGCTGGTTTTGAACTGCTGACCTTGAGGTTAGCAGCTCAATGCATAACCACTAGGCCACCAGAGCTCTTACAAGCTTACCCTACTGCAGGTTAAATGCATATGGGGTGCTTCAAAATATTCCTAGGAAATTGTCATTGTCTTTTGATTTGATTATCCCATATGCGTTTTGAAACTCCTTGTACTTCATAGGGGATCGGGGCAATCACTCCACCCCTCTGGAGGGTTCATATCTCCTTCACCTCATGTACTAGGGTCCTAGAAAGAACAAAGATTGTAGCAAAAGGAAGTCTGCTCCAAGTCTTTTCCTCTTGGCATAACTAAGCCAGACAACCTCTAGAATACATAACGAATGGGCAAAGTGTATCCTCTGCTGCTCCCACTAAATAAGAAGCCCCAGGAGAAGGCATTTGGACACATCTTGATGATTCTTCTGAGGTAGTTAGTTCATTGTACCAACCTGGCCGATAAACACATGTGGGATTAATTGAAGGGCAGAGAGATAAATGGCTCAGCAAGCCTTGTCTTTTTTGTCTGTGGCTCTTTGATCATCGGACCAGTATGCGGCTGCCTTGCTTGTTCTTTACCTCAATTTGCAAGCTACACTACCTGTGGGACACCTAACCTGTGGATTGTGTTGCTGTAATTTGAGGTTCCTTCAAGACCTGCCTCGTCACACCATTGTAATTTACATCTCTTGAGCTGGGGACTGTCGGACCCTGTCATCTGGCTGACTGTTGGTGACCTACCTTGCTGTTTGCTGCCTATTCCCAGATAGCCTGGATTGCTCTACAGAGGACTACCTGGTGGCCCTCAAGACTTGAAGGACTGCCAGTGTCTCACAACTGTCTCACAGGAGTTTGTTGCACTGAGCCATTTGTACTGCTTTATAATTTAATTAACTGTTTATTTCTTATGTTGTACATCTATCTATCTGTATAAATATATATAAAATTATTAGCATTCTGGTTTTGTTTCTCTAGAGAACACTGTCTAACACATCTTCGTTTTCATACTTTCAGCTATAGATGAAAAGGATGCAAAATACCAGGCGCTGAAAACCAGGAATTGTGATTCACAGGTAGGTAGGTGCTCATTGCAACCTTTATCAGGGGTGAATGAACTGACAGGAAACTGTCACAACATTTTCTAGATATTTTTCTGCCTCAATCTTCAGAGTGTCTCAATCAGATAGATAGAGACATAAGGAGAATTCGAGGACCAATAGATCTTTTTCTGGGAAAGCCACTTACTCTGATCTTATTGGGGATTAGAGTTGAGTTACCACTGGGATATCGAAGCCAATGACAGACAAAGTGACGCTGATTGGAATATATATACATTTGGAATTCATAATGATGACATTGGAACAACAGGCATCAATGGATCTTTTCCTAGTTTTGCAAGAGGGTATAGTCAGCTGCTTAAGCAAGGCTGCTTGTTTTTAGTAAAGTAAAATTCACACCACATAAAATTAACCGTTTAAAGTGTACAACTCAGTGGCATTTATGACTTCCTAACCATTGTTCTGTGGCTGGTTTAGTTCTAGCTCTCACCTGAAAGGAAACCGCAAACCCATTAAGTGGTCTCTGGCCACTTAAACCACGGTGTCTGTGACAATAGACTTAACACAAAGCTCACATTCTGACACAGAACAATCATCCAGAACCCAAAATCATATCCTAGTCCTTCAAAAAAATAGTTAAGATCCCCACTGAAGGATGAAACTCTGAGAAAAAAGGATTTTGGTTCAAGTAATTTACCTTGGTGGAGCCTACAGTGCAACTTAAGGGGTGGGGGGTGAGACAGAGAAGAGAAGGCATGCGTTTAAGAGTATGTTATTCAGGAGGTTACTGCTGTGGGGCGCAATCCTCCAAACATTTCTAGGATTTCGGACAAAACACTCCTTTAATTGGCTTATCAAAATAAAAAGAAACTGAAGTATATATCCACCAATTCCCATGCTCCACTAGCTGCGGACTTTTTCCAGGCATCTGAACTCCTCAACACTTCTAGCTGGGTCCATGCACAAGCCAAGTACATGTGTGTAGACACAGAAACCCCTAAGTTAGAAGTGTGCGTACTCAGAGTGAGAAGGCAAATTCAGAAACAAGGGAGGGTTCTTGGTAGAAAGTGCCAGATTCTGTCTGGTTAATCCCCTGGCCACTTATATTCCTTTCCCCAAAATGAGAAAGTCAATCTGCTATGAGATTGATAGGATATTTGCCAACCTCTTGTGATCAATACTTCAGCTTTGCTTGTGCATGGTTCACCTTCCAGAACAGAAATTAAAGGTATGAGCTCTGTGACTTGCACATACTGTACAAATTGTTAAGTTACTGACATGAGATTATCCCCTCTCCACCCCCAACCCCTCGCACTTTGGCATCTCTTGGGAGAAAAACAAGGCTTTCTACTCCCATAAAGAGTTACAGTCTTGGAAACTTATAGGGGGCACGTCTACCCTGTCCTATAGGTTTTCTATGAGTTGGCATCAACTCAATGGCTGTGAGTTTGGTTTCAGGAGGGGGACAGGGTTGGCATCAATTATTGCTGTCATTCTTGTTCGGTGCCATTAAGTCAGCTCCTGTTCATAAAGATCCTGTGTACAATAGGACAAAACACTTCCTGGTTACTCACCGTCCTCATAGTTGATCCTATTTTGAACCCACTGTTGCAACTATGGTTACTAACAAAGTGAACCATCTCTTAGAATGAATTGCCAAGTGCCCATATCTTTCAAAGCAATTTATTTTTTTATAAGGCCATGATTCCCCTCCCATTGCTACATCAACCCCATGAACATCACAGGATAATCTTAGTAATTGCGATTCTTCACACCACAGTAATCACCACCCCCCCTAACACCAACAATGTTATGCTTTGACCAGCAAGTGATCCCAAACCAAAACTGTATTCAGATGTCTCCGTCAGACCATTTCTGAGTTTGTGGCCATAGGGTGAGATCCGCCAAAGGAGGATACTAAGGAAAGGATTTGAAGATAAGTAGTTTGTCAGGATGCTAATTCCAAGAAGAACCAATCGGAAGGTAAGGATCTGAGATATGGAAGGGTAGGCAGACACAATGTCGTTTGGTCATAGTTACCACTGAATCCATTAAGGTATTGGTAAGTTGTTCGCAATGGCCACAATAGAGGGGTTCAGACCTCTGAGAAATGGTGGCACTACAGCATGCCTTCACGTTGTCCTACCCAACATACAAGATGACTGGAATATCTTGTCCTTGACTAAGATATTTTTATCCTATCTGACCCATCAGAGAGCAGACAGAATCTGCTCCTGGTCTTAGAGGAAGTGAAATAATTCATAGGCTGAGGCAGTAAGAGAGTAAGAAGTCACTAGCGTGAACAAGGATGATGAGTACCACAGGAACAAGAGAAAAGTATCAGTTAGTTTTGTGAAAGAAACCAACCCAGAACATGGTGACTTAACAATCAGTTTGTTTGCTCACAACTCCCGAGGCCATCAGAGCAGTACTAGACTGCGCTGACCTGTCTGTGGCTGGATGTTCTAAAAAGTCTCCTTAATAACTGTGGCCCTTGTGGCCATGATACTGGACATAATGGGAGTCTTTCTTCTGTGGTCTTTTATTTTTTATTGGTCTTACATATCTTTCTTCACCATCACCTGTGGGTTCCCAAAGACACAACACCGTGCAAAGCTCTGTCCAAGACTCTGAACATGTTTGCTAGCATTTCATTGAACAAAGCATGTCACCCCACGAGCCTAAATTCAATGCACACTATGGTGAAAATGTTCTTCTACGGAGTATATTTCCCAGAGCTCCTTTCATGTCCCGATTCCTCAGACTGTAGATAAAGGGATTTAGCATGGGAATAATGATGGTGTATAATGCAGCCACAATGACATCCTTGTCATTGGAATCATCGGATGAGGGGAAAAAGTACAATCCAATAATTGCTCCATAGTACAGAGACACCACCGAGAGGTGGGAGCCACAGGTGGACAAGGCTTTGCAGATCCCCTTGGTTGTGGGCACTCTCAGGATGGTGGCCCCAATCCGGCCATAAGAAATCAGGATGCATATGAAAGGAAGGGTAATGACCACTCCTCCTACAGTGAGGATGACGAGCTCATTGGTCGTGGTGTCCGAGCTGGACAACTTAAGTAAGGCAGAGAGGTCACAGAAGAAGTGGGGGAGAGTGTTTGCTCCACAGAAAGAGAGATGGGCCAGGAGCAGAGTATGCAATAGAGCACTGGCAAAGGATAAAACCCAGGACAGAATTACTAGTAAGAAACAGAGACTCTGGCTCATGATGGTGGTGTAGTGGAGGGGGTGACAAATGGCTACATACCTGTCATAGGCCATGGAAGTGAGAAGGAAACTGTCAATATCACCAAAAAATAGGAAAAAGTACACCTGGGAAATGCACCCCGCATATGAGATGGATTGACTCTGGGTCTGCATGTTCACCAGCATCTTTGGTGCTGTGACTGATGAGAAAGAGATGTCGGTGAAGGCCAAGTGGCTGAGAAAGAAGTACATGGGGGTGTGCAGGCGAGAGTCCAGCCTGATGAGCAGGATGATGAGCAGGTTCCCCAGCACTGTGGTGAGGTACATGCCCAGAAAGAGGGCAAAGAACATGGTCTGCTGCTCTGGCCAGATGGGGAGCCCCAGGAGGAGAAATTCCGACACACTGCTTTGATTATCCTTCTTCATCCTACCCTTCTCTGTTTCTGTAGATAAAAAAGAGCTATGAAAATATGAAAGAATAAGTAATCATCATGACAGTCAAAGCACAAGAACTTGTGCTCATCTTTAACCTACTTAGCATATGAACCTTGAACATTTCACGGTTTTTGCTCCACTATGAGAGCAGGAGCTGTCTGCCCACGGACTCTAATTGGTCCACCTAGAAACCAACAAAAGCTATTTTGGAGGAACCATGAACCATCAGAACCATTCCCCATTTCAGACCAGGCTCAAATTACAATTAAAAAGCAGGGTCTAAGGCTAGATAACTAGCAGAGAGTTAGGGACACTATTAAATTAAAAATATTTTTTAATTGTCTTTTAGTTTATTTCGACTCGTGGTGATCTCATGTGTTACAAAGTAGAACATCAATCCACACAATGTTCAAGGCTGTGACTTTTCAAAAGCAGGTCACTACCCATTCCTAAGAAGTTGCTAGGCAGGTTCTCACTGGCAACCTTTCGGTTAGTAACTGAATTCAGTGGGATACTCTTAAAGTGTCTCAGAAATAGGATTGGCACACGTGGTCAGAAACATCATAAGTACCTAACTAAGACGAGGGCACTAAGGATAGACATAGATGTCAGTAACGTAGAAGGTCTAAAGACATGCCTTACCATATAGCCATCAGTCTTTTCTTAATAAATTTATTTTCTACTCATCAATATTTTCATTCTACCATCACCCTTCCTGTGGAAAATTTGATGGAATTAGGAGCAAAATATCTCATTTCTCTCCCAAGTTTTTACCTTATTTTTTCTCAATTCAAGGCAAAATTATCTCGTTCAAGTCTTCAGAACACTAGACAATCCATTGACTTTTCCAGTCCCATCCTGAAATTATCAAAAAATAAACCTCTTTATAAATATTTTCTAAACTACTTTACTAAGTAAGACTTTATCATTTTCTTTTCATCTTACCCTAGCTTTTATACCAGTGACTCACCCCTGATATTTTCTTACAATATTTGTAACTCTTCTATGCTGCTAGTACTATCATTTCTTTGTCTTTCTTCTTAGGGTCTATTAATCTTAAACCTGGATGTGCGAATCTTTACAAAATAATAAGAACATGATCATCCTAGCTGCTACAAAAGTAACTCATGTAATGTATAAGGACTACTAATCAGTCTCATGGGAGAACGATGAGGTTTTCTGCTCCAGTAAAGAATTACAGTCTTGGAAACTCACCAGGGCAGCTCTATTCCATCCTATAGTGTAGCTTCAGAATTGACTCAGTGGCAGTTGGGGTTTTTTGTTGTTGTTTTTTGTTTGACTCAATTTCTGAATTGTTCTTGGGCAGCTGAGAGGTGCCTCATGGTAGGAGTTATCAGTTATCAATGGAATTAAGTAATATACCTATAAATTATCTATAAATTCCATTATCTATAAATGTTCTCACCTCTACTGACCTAATATCTATAATCCCTAGTGTTCAGGTTCCTATATTTAAAATTCAGTTTGCAAATGGTTTCATGGAATTGCATGAAAAAGACACTGAGCTGATAAATGTTATGATGTTAATAATATTTTCATAATAATAAATTTTTTATTAATTTTATATTTTACCTAAGAAAAATTATACATTCAGTTTTGATAGTCAATAACTCATCCAACTGATTACAGTGCATATGCAAATTAGTTATTTGATGAACATTTCATTGTTTGTATTTCTTCTCTTTCCAAATATATTACAAATAACATTGTGTAATATTAATTTCCAGTGGAAAAATAAATGATAGATCTGTAGAAATTGAATGACAAGATATGAGCATTTACCTTTTTAATGCATATTAAATTTATTACAGGAATCTAAGGCTATGGAGAAGCCTGTTCCAATGGGCTCTTTGAAAATAGTTATAAAAAAAATAATGCCATGTGAATATTCTAGAAATGGTCAACCTATCTAGAATTAATAGCAAGTATAAAACAGAAAGAGGAGCAAGCTTGGAGAATTTAAGGTACAGAAAGGTTACAGGACTTTGGGTAGCAAAAGAAGGTCATGAGGTTGGAGAATTATCTAGGAGTCAGGTTATGTAATGCCTTGTCTGCCATGATAAGTGTAAATTTTTTTTCCCAGAGTAGTAAAACACCCTTGAGAGGTTTTAAGTAAAGAAATGATTGGAAAATTTTTTAAATATTTTGCTGGCTATTGAGTGAACAGATTATAGTATGACAAGAAGGTTAATAGGAAATTATTGCAATAGTTCAGGTACAAAATTCTAAATGTTCACACTTAGACTGTGGCATCTGAGATGAAGACAATTCACATTTGGGATAAAATTTGGAGGAAAAACCAACATGAATCAGAGAGATTGAAGAAAAATGAGAGGGAAATATATGCTTGCTCTATCCTCTCAGAATTTAGATAACTTATCTAATTACACAAAGCTGGTTTGAAGAGAAGTACATCATGCTAGGACTCAGTAGCACAAACCAGATGCACACAATCATATCCCTGATACAGTGTGAAGAATTCATGGTGAATTCCTCCTCTGACAAGACCCCTTAGGTAATAAGCACAAATACCTTCATCTGCAATGAATGGAATGGGTCTTCCAATTTTCTCTTGAAAAACGCTGAGTCCTGTGAAGTAGGTATAGTGTCTAAGCCAAAGGTGCATTGAAACAGCAGGAAGAGTTACCTACCCACAAGCAGACAAAGCAGATATATGCAGACACTTGCGCACAACTCCTGGGCATTTGTTGGAGTTATACCTGACAAAGCATAGAGAGGACCCAGGAGGGATCATTCCCCCACCCCAAGCTTCAAATTAGAAAATAACAGCAAATAATTGCTTCATTTGCCCTTTGTCTCCCTTGGGGAAAAACTGTTTGTTGATAGTAGGTAACAGGAAGATTCACTCTTGGAGGAGTAATGATACTAACCACACACAAAAAAGTCATGGAGGATGCTGCCTTTCTAGCTTATATTATAAACAATCCCATTGCAGGGGAAGTGTGTTACCCTCAGCTCTATTGTTTCTGAGCACCATACTATTTCAATTGCCTCATGTGCATGTGAAAGTTGGACATTAAATAAGGAAGACCAGAGAAAAATCAATGCAGTTGAACTATGGTGTTGGCGAAGAATATTGAACGTTTTCATGGATTGTGAAAAGGGCAAATAGATTTGTCTTAGAGAAGTACAGCCAGGATGCTCCTTAGAGGGAGGGATGACAAGCCTTTGTCTGATATACTTTGGACATGTTGACAGGAGAGGCTAGTAGAGGGGCAGTAAAAAAGAGGAAGGCTATAGAGGAGTTGGATTGACACAGTGACTGCAACAATGGGCTCAAACATAAGAACAGTTGTGAGGACATGAAAAATTCTAAGAACTACATGATAATATCGATAGATGTGGAAAAAGCATTCGACAACATCCAACACTAATTCCTGTTTAAGAC